GATTTTAAAAGAGTCAAAATCGATACTTGAAGCATGTTGAATGCTATCTGCTACCTAACCTGGAGAAAAAATAACCAAGGACATAGTTTTAATATACATTTTTTTTAAAATCCCCACTTTTTAAAAAAGAAAACCATATTGTTTAACAACAGCATTGGTGTTTTTTTTAAATTCATCATTCTGGCTCATTTTTCTTCCAGTTAGGTTGTACCACAGTTAGCAATCAGCATAGACACTTATCCTCATCTGTTCCCCTGGGCTGAAAAACAAAGGAGCAAAGGGCTTGTTCTGAGTTCCTATTGTTTCAAGTGGCTAAAATATTTGTTTTATGGTTTCTTCTGTTGGGACAGAGCCAGCAGGGAACTTTGCAACAGAATGTCTCAATAGGCTGGTTCACTCAAGACAAAGAGTTGGAATGTGTCAATACTGAGCTTGAAACCTATTTCTCATTTTGTGAACATATTTAAGCAGATGAGCAAACGAGACTTGATCATTTACATTTAAAATGGCTGATGGAAACACAAGAGCTTATTTCTAACTAGCATTTCAAAATTTGGGATAATGTGAAAGAAGAAAAAGAAGGGGTAAGCGGAGTATTTATTTTTGCTATTTAGATTACCTGTGTGAACTAGATAAGAAATGAGCACCAGTTGAGAATATTTAGGCTTCAGAAATGAACATATATAATAGAAAAATAAGTACCAACCAATAGACTTTATTATCTTAGAGAGGGGGAGAGGGAGGGGGAGGGAGGGAGAGTGAGAGGGGGGGGGAAATGCATTATATATATTTTTACACATGATAGCATCTGAAGAAGATATGAATTTCCCGTTGATGTTACAGCCAGCTCGGCAGCAGTACACAAACCCTAACTGTAAATATGGGACCGACTAGAAGAATCAGCCCAGTGGTAATTCAACCAATGAAAAACATGTAAATAACTAAACTTTGCATTTTAAAAAGTTTGTGCTTCAATTGTGCCTCCCTCATAAGCTCACCAGAGGAACGAGGAGGTGACTTTAGCTCATCATTTCAAAGACAGCTTGATCATTACTCCCAATATGCCTGATTAGGCTAACAGAGGTGGGTTGTGTAGGGGGGAAAAAACTAAGGTGTCAAGGTAACCTAGAGTTAAAATTGACTAATTATCTGGATTGCCTTTTTGTTTATTTTTGTTTATCACTCACAACAGGCTAGAAAAACTGCTGTGCTCCACTTATGTGCGGAGGTGGAGCAGATAGGATAAAAGGTGGGGGGTTCTAATCAGTGGTGGGATTCAATTTTTTTTTACTAACGGTTCTGTGGGCATGGCTTGGTGGGCGTGGCACCAAGGATACTGTAAACTCTCAGTGGGTGTGGCTTGGTGGGCGTGGGAAGGTATACTGTAAAATCTCCAGTCAGAGGTGGTATTTGCTGGTTCTCCGAACTACTCAAAATTTCCCCTACCGGTTCTCCAGAACTGGTCGGAACCTGCTGAATACCCACCTCTGGTTCTAACACAATCTCAGGATGAGGATCCAGAAGCAAAGGGAGCAGTGAATTTTCTTAGATAGCTGTGCATAAAGGTAAAGATTTCCCTGGTCCAATCATGTCTGACTCTAGGGGGCGATGCTCATCAATGTTTCTTAGCCAAGAGAGCCAGCATTGTCTGAAGATGTTTCCATGATCCCTGGGCCAACATGGCTATACGCCGAGGTGCTTGGGAGGCTGTTACCTTCCCACCGAAGTGGTACCTGCTTATATTCTCGCTAGATGGTCAGGAGCTAAGGCAAGAAAAACATAGAATAATAAAAGTTGGAAGGGATCTTGGAGGTCATCTAGTCCAACCCCCTGCTCGTGCAGGAGGCCTTGTATCATTTCAGACAAATGATTGACCAGTCTCTTCTTGAAAGCTTCCGGTGATGGAACATCCACAACTTCTGAAGGCAATCCATTCCACTGGTTGATTGTGCTTACTGTTAGGAAATATCTCCTTAGTTCTAGGTTGCTTCTCCCCTTGATTAGTCTCCATCTATTGTTTCTCGACTTGCCTTCAGGTTATTTGGAAAATAGTTCTACCCCCTCATCTTTCTGGCAGCCCCTCAGATATTACAACTATCATGTCACTTTTAGTCCTTCTCTTCACTAGACTAGAGATACCCAATTCCTATAACTGCTCTTCATATGTTTTAACCTCCAGCGCCTTAATCATCTTTGTTGCTCTTTTCTGCACCTTCTTCCAGAGCCTCAACATTTTTTTTTATATTGTGGTGACCAAAAGTGTTTGGATCGTGAACCCAGACTGTCAGCTTTCCAACTGACAACCTCAGCTCATGTAACATTTTAAAAGTGGGGGAGGGGAGAGACAGGCCTCATGTAACATTTGCCTAGATTAATTTATATATCCAGAAATAAATTCAGAAATAATTACATCTCCTTATGTAAAGGGAATTTTGTAACTAGCTAACCAGAACACCTGCCACTCTTTGCTCTCCCATTTAATGTGTTATGATGAAGTGGATTTGGGCCCAACATCCATTCAGGTAAAGGATGCCTTTGAACAGAAAACTATTCCATAAAGTAGGACATAGCCTTCGCTCACCAGTCAATAATTTCAATCATATTCTTGGCCATTACTCTCTCCTAGGCCTTCTCTCCTTTGATGGAGCCAAATGATGAACTATCTATCTGGAAGCACATGGGAATTGGAGACAACCTTGTCCTAAAATCAATTTAATGATCTACATTCTCTCTCCTTAATATACCTTCAGGTTCTGCCTCCTGATGATGATGTCTCCCTGATTTTGTTTCCCAAGGTCAGGACCTCAGGAGACCCAGTAAGAACCTTTAACCACATCCCAGTCCTGACCAACGGATTTCCCCTTCGCTTGTTTAATGGAGACAGCCTGGCCATAGGGAAATTGGGTGAGACATTATTGGCTGCCTAAGTTGTATTGAAGTCAATGGCAAAAGCTGCCCGGAGTCTCTGAGAGTGAATTGGGCGGGCATATAATTTTTCTTAAATAAATCAAATCAAATAAATATTAACAAATATAAAAAAGACAAGTCTTTAGGCTGATGGAGAACCTCGTTACTTTTCAAATCAAGGTCTTGAGTTAACCATAATAAATAGGGCTTCAGAAATTCAGATCAAACACAGTAAATTTAACCTGCTGAGGACAACTATATAGCTAAGCAAATATATAACATTCCAAATTTGTAGGCAGTCAAAGATGGATTCAGTCAAAGACCCTGAATGAAACTGAAAGTCTCCAATGCTCTTTTTCTGGCAAATTTGTTCAGTTACTCCTCAAGTCTTCCTTTGTGGGCCAAAATGGAGTCAACAAAAAAAAAAATACAGCTCTGTTTCTGAACTGTTTTCTATTATCACTTGGTCAGAAATTTGAATGAAGAATCACCTCAACTATTCCCTCATGGTGTCTGGGTAGGTTTGCACAATGCATAAACCATGGTTTGTTTTAGTTGATTTATTGAAGAACTCATAGTTGGGAAAGTTCACATAAACTGCAAGGCCATAAGTCAACTATGATTTACAGACCACAATGGCTGCATCTATACTACTTTGCTTAGTTTAGCACACACGCACACAAAAAGCAAGTTTCTGAGTCCTCATAGATCTTCCTTCAGCAATTATTGCAGTTGATCCTTGTTAGTTTGCAGCTACCCTATTCTACAGCTTCAGCCAGGACTTTCTAACTGATTATCCCTGTTGTGAATCAATAAAAGTTACTAACATAAATGCAAATCAGGGTTTGGAAACCTGCACACCTGATTGGCCCTTATACAACAACTAGGGATTGGTCCATAAGTAGTCCCTGATTGGCCACTATTTGGACACTTCTCATTGGTTATAAGTTTGAACTTATGGCACATGTCATTGGTTAATAAGGTAGCAGATAACCCTATAAAAGGGTTGCTGTTGCCCATAGCCTTGCTCTGTTCTGTTCTATTTACGATTATTAAAGAGTTGAAGTCACTGGTCAGATGTCTGGTCTCCATTATTTCCCAAACTTAACAATCCCAATAAGCAGAGGTGGTATTCAGCAGGTTCTGACCAGTTCTAGAGAACCGGTAGTGGAAATTTTGAGTAGTTCGGAGAACCAGCAAATAACACCTCTGACTGGAGATTTTACAGTATCCTTCCCCTGCCACACCTACCAAGCCACACCCACAGAACTTTTCTTTCTTTATGTATACTGAGCGTATTTACACCAAGACAAATTCCTTGTATGTCCAATCACACTTGGCCAATAAAGTATTCTAGTAAAAAAATTTGAATCCCACCACTGCCAATAAGATATTCACAGGAAATATCGTGTGTCAAGATAGTGGCTGCAACTGAATGCTTGTAACCCCCTGCCCCTTTAATGACATTCCAAGTAACACAAGGAGAAAAGGGGGCAGGGCTAGGATCATATGGTTGAGGTAGCCATTTTGATTTTTTTCACCACCCTTGAGAACACTCCTGCTATTAACTATAAACCAATGAAAATAAATCCCTTAGAATTTTTTGTGTGCTGAGGCTTTCCACAATCTGAAGCTTTCCATGTAGGTTGGAATTTTAGTTTTCGTGAGCATCAGTCAGCTTTGCTGCAGAGGGTTGTGACTACTGAAGCCATCACAACTTCTTAATAACTTTAAAAGCTTTAGCAGCAATTGACATGTGACATTTCCAATAGAAAGCTATTGTCATAAAAGCTCCTTATCAACGAAGCCATATCAGAAGATGCACTGATTTATGTTTTTTCACATTTTATACAACTGCTGTCCCTTAATAGTGCAGTGATAATTGCTTCCTTGTTAAGAATTAAGAATTCATGCTGTTTAAATGGGCATTTATGTAAAAAAAAAAAATAGATTTGAAGCAGGCAGTTTTTTCCCCACAACTTATTTGTACGTCCAGTAAGAAGCTCTAGTTAGCTGTAAATCTCTCTTCAGCATATATGTGGTAAAATAGATGTTTGCAGCTATTTCAAGGACGGGAACAATATGCTGAATGCCAAAATTTTATTTCAGTCAGAAATACATTTGCATGTCGTAAACTAGATGGCCATATCACATACAATATTCAACAGCAGGTTACGTTCTTTTGCCAGTTACATACTTTATATTTTTAGATGGACACTTTGAAAAGTCCTAAGCATACATAGACATCTAAAGAAAATAATGCACAAAGTTGCTTTTGGTCTCCCTGTCTGTGGCTGAATTGCATTGTTGCTGGAGTTTCTAAATCGAAAAGATGTTTTTATTCACCAAACCCCAGCGAAAACAGCTAAAGGTGGCAATTACTGCTAACTTTATTGGACACTTCTACAAGAGTCAATATTGTACTTGGCTCCACAATATTTTTTTATATAAAACCCATAAACCTACTACTTTTATTTTAATAGGAGGAAGGACAAAACTAGGAAGACATTTCCTGCTACCAGACAGAAAGACAAAGGCTTAGTTATCCAATTCACAGCTAGACAGATTTCAGCTACATGACTCTGCAGGAACTGGACATCACTGTGAAACATGAGTTTCTTTTTTTCTAAAAAGTTCACCAAGAGAATGTGAGAAATCTGTACGATGTGTGAATATACAGGTCAAATCAAGAATTCACATCTAAGCAATTGCTCTTATTTTCCCTCATCCCTACAGTTGCATCCTTTCCTTTAACTAGATTTTATTTTTGTATTGAGTGGTTAACTGTTGCCTTTGTTCCACTTGGTGACAGTCTAAAAATATGATAATGCAATTCAAGACACTGCAGAGCTGCTCCGTTAACATTAATGCAGTAAAGATGAAGTCCTAGAGATCGCCTATGCAATGTCATTTGTGATGAACGGCCATGCACTGCATGGCACTACAAGATGCAGAAGAAGCAAATAGGCTGGGGGGGGGGGGAAAAGGTTCCCTTTATTCCGTCATGCATTTCTGAACTATAACAAAGACCAGAAGCAGGAAGTGAACAAAAGGAAATTTCCTCTTCTCAAAATTATTTCTTTACAGCTTAGTGTTGTTTGTATCCAGGGGTGGGAGAACTATGTCCCTTTTATAACTTGTGGACTTCAACTCCCAGAATTCCTGAGCCGGCCACAAGTCATAAATGGGCCATAGTTCCCCACCTCCGGTACACATGTAATCTGTTGATAAAAAAAAATATTAACTGGACAAAAAACTTAGCAATGATATAGGGTCCTTCACTGATGGGGTTACAGTCCATATCTCCAGGCATGCAGATGGAAACACGTACATTTATTGACGAATGGAAACCCGTTATGGATTTTTTTGTGTAAAAATGAACTTGTGATTTATAGTTTTGATGATGTGATAGGATAGATTACAGAAAGAAGAGAATAATGATGTAACTTTAGAGAGAGAGAGAAGTTAAAATATAATTGTAGCTGTAACTGTTGTGAAGAAGACTGAAAACTACGTCTTTTTATCTTTCTTTATATCTGTATTCTTTTTCTCTAGTTTTCTTCCACTTTTCTTTATTTTAGCACTTTTAACTTTTATTTTTCCCTTTCTTCTTTTTCATTCTATTCTAGTTTGCATTAGCTCTTACTATTGTTGTTAAAACTTTCAATAAAAATATAAAGGATATGTTCATGCATGCATGTAATTCTGCTTCTCATAAATTCTGTCTCTTTGCATTGCAGGATTTAGACTTGGTGAGACCCTGAACATCCCTGGTTAAAAGGCTACTATAGAATGGTTTTGCTAAGGTCCATACCAAAACAGGTGTGTTTGTGTGTGTGTGTGTGTGTGTGTGTGTGTGTGTGTGTGTACTTACTCCTTTCCAAAGGAGTCCATTTAGTGATTTATCACTTGTCTGGCTTGATTTTTGCTCATAGATTATAATACAATATATCCTGGAAATAATAATTAAATCTAATTTTAAAAATAATTTTAAGATACATTAATATACATACAAAATGCTGACAAAATTATTTTTAAAAAATATCGCTAATAATGAACTTGTTTGCAAAATCGGAAAACTGACATTCTGAAATTTTGTGGGGCCCGAAACTGTTCCTTATTTAGCTTCTGCCTAAATCCAGCACTGCTCTTAATCTGATATCTACTTGGAAATGAAAGTTGTTTTACCCAAAGCTTGTGGGTAAACAAGTCTCTCGCCTTTTCTTAACCTCTCTGGAGGTTTTCCTATATGTATTTTTTTTTTTCTTCCCAGCCTCTGATTGAGAGAAAAAAAAGCCCCCCACACCCACAATGAAAGACTAAAGATAGGGAGATGTATGTTCTGAATTAGGTTTGGGATTGTCATCGTTGAGAGCTGACCTGAAGCGTATGGGTTGTCTGGACTGAAGATCTGCTACCTACTGAAAAAGGGGGGATTGAGCAAAAAAGAAAAAAAAAGGAAAATTCCACAACTGTGAAACGATAACGTTGTTTTTGGGTCACGTTCAGTATAGGGTTATAGAAATGGCTTGAAAAAGTGCAAGCGATATTCCCTTATCTGGAATAGCGCTTTTTTTTTAAAAAAAAAAAAACACTTTTATATTCTTCAAGTAATTGAAAAGTGCTATCCTACCATCTCAACTCCCAGTTTTCTCTCCCCCCACACCCACCCACAGCTTCTTCAATATCTCTACTTCCTTGATCATCCTCAGTCTGCTGGATCACAACTACCCAAAAAGTCAAGCCTGCATCAGAGTGAAGAATAGAAGTGCAGTATAGTATTGGGGGCCGGCTTGTTCTGGTTTCATTATTCATGCCCTTCAGGTTCCATTTCCAAATACAGATACAGATTAACAGAGTTGGAAGGGACCTTGTAGGTCTAGTCCAACCTTCCCTCCCCGCCACCCAAGCAGACCCTACACCATTTCTGACAGATGGCAGTCCAGTCTCTTCTTGAAAGCTTTCAGTGATGAAGCTCCCACAACTTACGAAGGCAAGCTGTTCCATTGGTTGACTGATTTCTATGGCACTGGGCAGAGCTGGGTGTTGTTGTTGTTGTTGTTGTTGTTTGTCTAGATCCATTAGGTATTTCTGGGTCCCAAGTGTCTTATTTTTATCCTTTCCTATTTTGATAAATCCCATTGCTATCTATTTCCTGCCCACTTCCCACCTAACTGTGTAATAGAGTTGTGCAAAAGCTTCACGTTGACGGTTCAGTTATGTAATAGTAGGCCTGGACCTCTGAATCAAATTAACTTCCAAATCAGATTGACAATTTGGATCAAAAGGTCAGGATGACTTGATTTGCCTGTATGGAATGGCTTTTGAGCATGAGTGAAAATCTCCCCCCACCCACCCCCTATCAATTCAGAAAATCAGGCAGACTCAATTCCTTGAATCAGTTCCAAGCCAATCAAATTAACCATTCAAATCTCAGATCAATGAATCAGATTGGAGCTGAACAGCCTACCCCAATTGATACATCTTCATTAACCCTCAGCCTCTGAGAGTTTTGGACAAAAGGCTTCTCGGAGTTACCAACCGAAGGATCTCCTGCAGTTACTCCATTATTTACCTGCATAGCAGATTTTTCTAAATATTCTTGTAGGACAGAAAACTAAATTGGAAAAGACAGGTGACCTACCAATGTAGGACAGCCTTGCTGGACCCCTCATTATATTCTCTGCATACAGCAATGAACGCTTCTTCTAAATGCGTCTTAGCTCTACGCCTCAGGAAACCAAGCAACCATGCGGGGATAGGGCATACATCTAATGATATTCAAACACTTTGAGGGGGACACGGCCACAGGGACCTAGCCTCCACTTCACTTTTCCAGAATAAATGAAGGCAGAACAAGGAGGAGTAGAGAAGAATGGGGACAGTGAACTGAGAAAACTTTTCTGGATCTTCTGTGCACCCATGACAAGTTACTCTCATTGTCTTCTTCTTCGATATAAGGAATGGCTAATTGGCATAGGAGACATGCTGAGCCTCTCTTACTTAAGAGAAAGAACCCCCCAAAGGGGTGGCGTTTCTTCCATCATCTGCCCAGCCTTGCTGAAATGTCGTATTTGCTGTGGTAATTGGAACCTGAGTTGAACAAAGGACAATATACTTTGATTTGTGCTGAAGCTAGGGACTTTAGTAGCAGAATTTGCACAGGATTATTGATGTTTTGGTTGTTCTTGCTGCTATTGGATGAGTCAAAAATCCCACATTATGTTTGCTCACTTCTTAATCTTCTCAAACAACCAGCATTTCCAGATATCAAGACAGGCCACTTACACATTGTGTAGGATCATTTACAAGGTCTATTTTTTTCAATAAAGATGTAATAAAGAGTAGAATAATGGGTGTTTCTCCAGCCACACTGTTTAGAAGCCAGGTGGCCAGTGGCTAGAGGCCTAGGTATATAGAAGTCACAGTAGAACTTTCAGTCTGTTTAATCACTTCCTTTTCCCAAGGAATCTTGGGAGTTGTTGAGGTTTTGCAGCCAGCTCACCAATCTATTCCTAGGATACTTTGGCAGGAGTCATGATAGTTTAATTGGTATAAGATTGATGTACATTATATAGATGTGCCTTCCTCTTTTGTTTTTGTTTTTTTTGTTTTTTAAAAAAAAGATATACAGAGGCTGATTTTGCAAGTTAAAGAAATGCAGAAACAGAATTCATTGGATCACCCAACACATTCTATAATATATGAAGGTTGCGGTCAGAAAATGGCATCCATACTGCAAGCTGCTAAATTCAGGGGGCACATAAGTCAATCACAAATCAACAATATATCGGTGTAGCAGGTCTGATAGAGCGGACTCCTCATGCAAACAAAACTATAGCCCAGAATCCCTTCAATTCCCACCCCTCCCACCCTGTTCTGCCCCAGACAAGCCAGCAGTAGCATCAAACCTGTTAGAACTAGAAAGACAAGTGCTTGTTTGCAGATCATAACGAGCTGATTTCAAATGCAGGACTAATGTAGGCTAGTTAAATGGACCATACCGTAAGATCTTCATCTATGTCTCTTCCCTTTGTTCTATGAACTTCCTTCCCATCCCTTGCTCTATCCCGGACATTGGCTGGCTCATAGAAGTCAATAATTCTTGACTTTTTTTTTTTGGTTAGCATGACCATACCGGTGACTCTCACTTCTTCAGAATGGCCCTCATTTCACACTCACCTGATTCACATCCCCCCTCCCTACTCCCACCCCCTCATTTCCCCATTGGGTTTACCTTGTCCCTCTACCCGACCCTCCCTCCCTCGTTTATTCTTGATTTTTATTTTTTGTAGTTGCCAAACTGGATAGCCAGGCGGTCAGTGGCACAGCGGAAGGTAGCTGGTTGGACTTCCCAATAAGGCACAGGGTTGCCAAAAAGGCTGATTCCATGGTACGAGGCACGCTTTACCCCAAAGCCCACAGGGCAGAAATCGTTAACGCCAACATGGGTAATGTTGTTGGAATGCAAATACACCACCTGGGGAAGAAGACAGAAGAATTGGTTAGAAGCGGAGGCTCAACTGGGCATACCTTCATCAATGGAGACATTTGCCTTGAACAAAGGGAGTCCTCGATTTACGACCACAATTGGGGTGAGAACTCCTACTGCTAAGCAAGGTGGTTGTTAAGTGAGCTGTGCCTGATTTTATGACTTTTTTTTGGTAATGGTTATTAAGTGAATCACTGCAGATGTTAAACGAATCACGTAGGCATTAAGCTTCCCCTGTTGACTTGGAAGTGAGATGGGAAGGTCACAAATGGCAATCACATGACTCCAGGACACTGCAACCATCATACATACTTGATGGCTACCAAGGACACAAATTTTGATCATGTGACCATGGGGTTGCTGCAACAGTCACAAGTGTGAGGACCAGTCATAAGTCACTTTTTTTTCGGTGTCATTGTAACTTGGAACAATCACTAAATGAATGATTGTAACTTAAGGGCTACCTGTACGTCAGTTCAAATCTTAACATTTTTCAATGTAAAGACCTATCCGTATCCCAAACGTGCTTTCTTTCAAGAGGCAACTGGACTTTCTTGTTTTTCTTTGAAGACATTTCAGTTCTCATCCAAGAAGCTTCTTCAGCTCTGTCTGGATAGTGAGGTATGGAAGGATTTATACTCCTTGCAGGGCAGCTGGTCATTTGTATTCTTTTAGAGAGTTGTTGAGGCCATTTGGAGGTTTCTCTGTGTCTTCAGGGTCACCTGAGTGGTGCAGATGAGTGTGGAGCCTTCTTGGAACTGCTGAAAGGGCTGTATTGTAGACTGGAGATAGATGATGTCATATCCCTCCCCCTCTGTTGAGAGAAGGATGTTCACTGTTGACATAGATGGCCTCCTTGACCCTTCTTTCAAACCAGCGGTCCTCGCTGACCAAAATGTGGACTTTGCTGTCTTCAAAGGAGTGCCTTTTGGCTCTGAAATGCAGATGGACTCCTGAATCTTGTCCTGATGGGTTTGTTCTCCTAAGTTGTACCATGTGTTTATGAAGTGGTTGTTTTGTTTCCCCAATGTACAGATCTGCACATGTCTCACTGCATTTGTAGTGCATATACCATGTTGCTCAGTTTATGTCGGGGTGTTTTATCTTTGGGGTGGACAAGCCTTGTGCCTTAGTGTATTCTTGGGTATAAAGTAAGTGTGTATGTTGTGTTGACTGAAGAATGGGAATGTATTGACCCGTATGACTGAGAATCTCCATAGAGACCTATCTGTATGCTAAAACTGGATCCAGTGTTCAAGTTTCTCATTTAGATACACTTGGTGACCCATGAGTAACACCTGATGAAATCCCTGAAGCAGTGGTGGGATTCAATTTTTTTTACTACCGGTTCTGTGGGCTTGGCTTGGTGGGCTTGGCAGGGGAAGGATACTGAAAAATCTCCAGTCAAAGCTGGTATTTGCCAGTTCTCCAACCTACTCAAAATTTCTGCTAACAGTTCTCTAGAACTGGTCAGAACCTGCTGAATACCACCTCTGTTGTGAAGCCTAAGAAATTAAGGTAAGATTAAGATTTTGAGGAAACAGACAGGTCTACTTTTTAAAGCCTTGCCTCTCCCCATAATGAGAAGATGGGAAATAACCGGGAAATAACATTTCTGCACGTGGTAAGAACAGAAACAGCATAAGCAAGAAGGAACGTATGTATATTTTCCTCAGATCACACTCATCTTGTTTTATTGTTGAATTTGAGATAACTTGAAGCTAATAAGATGGCTGGAAATACCTCATGGAACCTATCATTTCTTGAGGTAGAAACTCTTTTGTAAGCCATCTTATAAATTAAAAGAAAATCTCAGCTCAGCTTATTTATTACCTAAAGCACTAGCCTATTGGAGCAGCCAATGGCCATATTGGTTGGGAATGATGGGTGCTATAGTCCAAATACAGCTGGAATGCACCATGCTAGGAAAAGCTGTTTCAGACATTGTTTACTTTACCAACAATGGTTTTAGGAAGCCAAAATGAAGAACAACAACCCCCCCCCCCCAGAATCCCAGTTAAATCATTGGGTCCTTTTGTATACCTATTTAACAAAGCTTGTTTTAGCAACAATTGGAATTTGTTGGAAATGTGATGGGGTTTGGTTTTGGGGGGAGGACAAAGGGAGGGAGATTCAATTGACACAGGTTGCCATAGGAATGTTGAGTGTCTAAAGATTATGAATTCATGTAATGGTTTTACAGCAACCAAAATAAGCTCTATTGATTTCAACACAGTGTCCTTCCCAGGACATAACAATTTCCAGCTTTGCTGTTATTTGTATTGTTAACTGAGTTTTGTAAATTGTACAATATCCATTTTTCCTAGCAGGATAACTATATCTAAAACTCTCAGGTCTGTAACCTTTACCTGGAGAAAATGGTGCACCGTAGGGCAAAAGCCTTTTGAATCAAGCAACCTCAAATGGACTAACTTACAGAATGCATCCAAAATCTGGGACCCATGACTCCTGTGGAATTGAAATTTGGCAAATTTTGTACAACATTTTATGATAAACATTATCATAAAGCATGTTATGACTATACAAAATGTCATAAAACATTTCTTGTGCTGAACGCCTGGTGTTTGACTGCATTATACAGTTCAACACTATACAGTTCAACATTCAAGATAGATACATCTCTGAATATCTTCCTGAATTTTTAAGAACTTTTCGAGTACATTAAAAGCTCTGCCATTGTTGAAGGCACTGAAGGATCTAGTAAGGATCTTTGAAAAGATAACTGAAAGCATCATGGGTTATCTAGTACATTCTAAACAAACAACCATGATTATTACAATAGCACAAGATACTCATGAAACTACAGGATACAGATAATATAGTTTTTAATGCACCACAGTGAGTTTGCAAAATCAGTTTGCTGGGTTCCAGAATCATAGTTCTGGATTTGCAGTGCAACACAGCCAGATTCAGTATGGAAAAGGACACGAAAGAGTTTGGAACTGAAAAGGCAATCTGTGGATTGGTAAAGGATGGCAATGTCTTGTTCCATCTGCATGTTCTCTACAGGTATTTCAAAACAGAATGAAGAAGACAGAGATTTCTGGATGTTTTTGGGTCATGTCAACCCAATGAATTTTCTACAGTTGCCCATTGTTGAAGCTTGATGTATGATCTCCTAGACTTCATGCCCTCCCTGAAACTTGGAGATCACAGAATCATAGAGCTGGAAAACACCCGGGAAGTTTTCTAGTCCAACGCCCTGCTAAAGGCAGGAGTCTTTACTTCATCCCAAACAAATGGTTGCCTAATCTTTTCTTGAAAATTTCCAATGATGGAGCATCCACAGCTTCAGGAGGCAAGCCATTCCATTGACTACTTGTTCTTACTGTCGGTAAACTTCTCTTTAGTTCCAGGTTGGATCTTCCTCTGACGATCTTCCATCCACTGTTTCTTGTCCTTCCCTCAGGTGCTTTGGAAAATAAACTGAACTCTCTTCCCTGTGACCACCCTTCAAGTATTAGAAGACAGCTATCATGTAATCTCTTCATTAGGCTAAACATACCTGGTTCCCTTAGCCCAGAGGTCTCCAAACTTGGCAACTTTAAGACTTGTGGACTTCAACTTGAAGTCCAGAAGTCTTAAAGTTGCCGAGTTTGGGGACCCCTGCCATAGCCATTCATCATATAGCTAGCTTCTAGACCCCTTGTCATGCTTGTTGCTCATCTGTCTGACTCTTTCTAGGATCTCAGCATCTTTTTTGTAAGCAGTATTCCAAGCCTGGCCTTGCTAGTACTATATAGAGCGGCACTATCACTTCTCATCATCCTGACGCCAGCCCTGTGTTGATGTAGCCTAGGATTGCAATTGGCTTTTTGGGCAGCCACAGCACCCTGTTGGCTCATATTTAAGTGGAACACCTAGATCCCTCTCACAGGGGTTCAGCCAGGTACTGTCTATTTTGTACCTGTGCATTTGGTTTTTTTTCCCCCTGCCTAAGTGCAGGGCCTCACTTTTCTCGCCACAGAACTCCATCTTATTAGATACCTGCAGAAACTTGAGGTCAGGCAATCCTGGGGGGACTCTTGAGAGTTTGTTGTTGTCCAAGTGCAACTCGCGTAGGATAGGCAAGAAAGCAAGGCTGCCGTTCTCAATCATGCGAATATTGTTGTGTCCGAGGCCCAGTCTATGAGTAGAGAAAGGGGATACAAAGGAAATGGAGATTTAGTGTGATGCCAACTTGTGTACTTTACAGTGCAGGAGAAGATCAGCCCTCACTTCCTTACATTCACTCTGCCAGTTTTTCCTTGCCTCTCCCCGCTACCTCTCTGCCCCAAAGTTCTTTCTCAAATTACCGGAAGTCTCGAACTGCAGACGTGGGGAAGAGCCACAAAACGGAAGAGTAAAGACTTTTCTAACTTTTCCTTCCTTCAGTTATGAAATCTTGGTTACAGTGGGCCTGCCTTGATTGCAAAAATTTGCATGGAATTCTGATGATGGGAAGTTACAAATGGTGACCCAGGATAGCGCAACTGTCATAAATGCATGCCAGTTGCCAAGCATCCGAAATTTGATCACCTGACCAGGGGGAGGCTGCAACATTCGTAAGTAGGAAAACTAGCCGTAAGCCACTGTTGTTTCAGTGCCGTTGTAACTTTGAATGGTCACTCAATGAATGACTGTAAGTTGAGGACTACCTGTATACACTAAAGCACTCTAATTATTCCCCTAATAAACTTTTTGGGAAGGAAGTACTAAGAGACAGACTCAAAATCACTCAAATAGTTTCTGTAACTGAGCTAGAGTTGAAGCTTGGGCTTCGCAGCCCCAACCTAGCATCTTCACCCCTTCACCACTTTGGCTCCTACTTGTTTAGGGTTTTGTGTGAACTCAGTCCGTTTCCACCTTATAAACAGCATAAAGTTTGTAGAGAGGAGCAAGTCCCTTTGTTAAGGTCCACACCCTTTCGGCTCTCCCTCTGGGCCAAGGGAAAGTAAAATATGATTACAGATTACCGATTTCTGGTTGCTTGTTTTAAAGCTTACCCATCAAAGATGTAATCTGTCTATATTACAGGTTCCAAATCAAAACTCAGGCAATATATTTAAATGTTATAGATGACAGATGAAGATGGTGATGAATGAGAAAACAAAGACCAATCAGTCTGGGCCTAGGGCATTTGGTTACAGACATTTCAACTTCCAAATGAAGCAGAAAGCAAATGTATGATTACGCTGCCATCTTCTGTCTGATTCTCTCATTCCTTCATGCAGCAAGATGTCTTGGTGCACCATACCAGCGGCAGCTAAGGATTAGATAAGTGTACCAGTAAGGAAAAGGTGAGAAGGAAATGCAGAAGGATTTTGGGCTGCTAATTGAGTGTAAGATCTAAAAGTCCACATTTCTAGAGTCTGGATGGCGATGCTAGTTGGAGCCTATTTAAACAGAAGGGAACGCAACAGAAGGTTCCTTTTTTTACTGTGCCACAGTATTTGTACTGGCTAGGGAATGCAAGCTGGGAATTCTGGAGGTTGAAGTCCACACATCCTAAAGCTGCTGAAAAACAGTGCTATACCACCACCTCAGAATACACATGGGGGGTTGGGAGAGTTGCGTGTCTAAAAGCTGCGCTCCAGAGGTATTAGTGCTCTATGTGCAACTTTGTGTGAAATAAGGCCAGCTTTTCCTGCATGGAAAGACTGCCGAACTTCCTGGGTATGGCTTCAACTTGGAACTTCTGCATCCAAAATATTGACAAATATTAGGAGCTAGTCCCCAAAGTGGAGCAGTGTGGCAAAAGCAGGTGATAAATCATGCCCCTGTGTTTTTTCTCTTAATTGTGTTTTATTCAAGGCTAGGACCGCCCCCTGCAGTAAAATGTTTGGGCTTCCAATGGGCACTGGTTTTGATCTTATGGGGCAATAACACCTTTGGGTGGTGATTCAATATGGTGAGCAACCCAAAGGGAAAAATGAAATACTTTTTCTAGCACTGCAATCAAAATGCTGAGCTGCTATTAAATTAAAAAAAAACTCAGAATATTCTTTCCTCTCCTTTCATTGCATGCAAATCAGCCCAAAACCAAGGCATAAAAATCAAAAGTGGAGGGATTCAATCCTGAATCAAGGACCTTAATCCTTTGGGCTTTGTCTGATTTTTATACAATAGAAGTGATGAAAGGAATGGCCTCTTGGGAGGCAGGGAAAGCAAATTCTTATAAAAGGCTTTCCTAATCAAGTTTGCTTCTTTCAGATCAAAATGCTTCATGGGAAGGCAGCATTAAGAACACCCATTTAAAAAATTGCTGACAAATATAGCTCTTTCCCCCTCTAGTGGCCAAAATATATATTCAACTTTAAAAGGCCAGGCCATATTTAGACCTAGTTTAAATATGTACGTGAAGCTTATACAGAGTGTATACTAAAAACTCCCTCCTATTCCCCCCCCCCCATCTTTCTCAGATGAAGCACCGGCCTTATTGTATCTATGTTACATTATTTAGAACAACATCAGCTCTCCAAATATAAATGTGTGAGTTGGGGCAGTGGGGTGGGTTAAAATTCAAAAGCCTCACTTGACAACGTAATATGGCTGTATCCCCAAGAGCAATTCTACTTTAGTTATTAAGTCATTTCCTCCATCCGATTAACAGAAAACAATTGAAAATGTGGACCACTGGATTTTTTCATTTTCCAGGCCTGTCTTCTCGGTCTGCCTACAAACGGTTTAATTCTTTGAAATTAAAATCTATAATGAAATAGGGTGAAAAACAAATATTTTATCATTCTGTGACTTGAGGTTGTGCGTTCAAGTTGTTTATCACATTCACACAGCCACCATCCTTGTCCGTTGATTGTTTTAGACGTGTTTCTTTGGTTAGTGATATAGAGACCACTCAATAACTTAAGCGGCTTGGTGATGGCTGTTTTAAGTCATTCATGATGGGGGGGGGGGGGAGAAAGGAACCAGCTGGCACAATTGCACATGGTCACACTTAATTATACACCATACTGAGCACGCTGTGGCTCTATGTCTCTGCTGCATATTTCTACCTCCCATTTCATGCTTGGAATACCTTCTGCTAGTCTGAACTGTGGAAGATTTCTTAGGATGACCTCATACAGGCGCAGTTCTTCTCTAACTTGGAGGAGCAAGGTCATGAACAGCATCTCGGCTAATCACTGAGCATGGAAGAAAATGCTTTCACCTACAGCCTGGGGGCGGTGGGGGGGTGGTTTGGCAGTAGAAATTTCTCAGGAGCTTGTTGCTAGGGAGACCACAGCTGAGCTGGGTGGATATTTTAAACCCCCAGACATTTTAACATTTTAGCCGGTTAAAGATTCCAAAGGAGTGCTTTTGTGGCTCGCAAGCACACATGCACACACAGCCCCCCCCCCCCCCCCCCCAAAAAAAAAAAAAAGGAAAATGAGAGGGAGGCACTCCAGACCTCCCTGACACTGGTAGGAGAAGATTGATGTTGCAGCTTGTAGGTTTAGAAACAGAGAAGTGGAATGAGTCTTTCCTACCCAGGGAGGTTTCTCCTTGGTTTTAACCGAACTGATCTCCTCTCCTCTCCCTTCCCCTTCTTCTCCTTTCTTATTTGGTGAAACTTTTTAAAGAAATGTACCTCCTAAGTGCTGAAGCAGAATTTATTGCTCGACTTTAGGGATTGCAAGCCAGGAACAAGGGAGGGAATCTTTGGGGCACTGGCTGGTGAAATGCTCTATTTTTGTTTTTGGAATACATTTGTTTTCTCTTTGCAGTTACTGTTTGCTACTTAATAGAGATCCGTGCTTTAAACACATGTTTCTTGACGATCTAAAATCCTGTTTTAGCTATAATTTGTAGAAGGTTTAATTCGGCAGATAGAGAAAGTTTTTTTTAATCAGGGCAACTGCTCCACTTTTACCTTTCAGCCCCAATCCAGGAGCCTTCACAGGCAGTCGCTTTCGCGATAAACTATTTTTGTGTTGAATTTACAAAGAAATAAAGGGCGACTAGTATAGATCTATTTCAAGTTACTGGTATTTAACGCTCATCAGCTAGCCATACCCTTCTGAGATTCAAACCCAGGCTACTTGCATATTAGGTAGATATATATATTAACGCCTAAGCCATGGGGTCTCCTCACTTTGTTGACTATACCAGGGGAAAGATTAAGTGTTTTTTTATAGGAGGATAGAAGTTGACTTTGGTCCCATACTTGGCACCTGGGCAGATTGCCTTCAGCATAGAGGGGGGCCTTCTAGGTAGGAACCTCCAAGGTAGAATCATTCTGTCAGCTACCAAGTTATGAAAGAGATAGAGCAACTTTGCTTATATATGCACAAAGATTAAAACTTGATGGACCTCCTCCCTTGGCCCTTCTAACTCCATATATGGCATCACAACTTTTGTGGACAACATGAAATGATTCCCTGCAAAAACCTTGGAATTACAAGGTCATAGGAAAAGGAAATGCAGAAGAAGGTTCAAGGCCAGAGTTACATCATGCTAAGAATGGCATCTCTAGGGAAACTAAAAGTCGTATCAAAAGTTTCATGAGGTAGACTGGTTAAAAAAAAAAACATTCCTTCCATTTTTTAAAAAATAGCCCTTACTATGTATTAACTCTGAACATGTTCCCTATTTTCTCAACATATTTTTGCCAACTGATAAAACAGATTTTCCTTCCACTATTGTATTCTCCCCCCCTTTCTTCTTCTTCTTCTTCTTCTTCTTCTTCTTCTTCTTCTTCTTCTT